AATTAAAAATTACTAGAAAAGTCACCTAGACCAGACCCTACCAGGGATATTGTTCATGGCAGCTAAACAACAGATCAAACAACGTTCATGCATTGTGTTACATACCTGAGGAAGCTAAAGTAGATAGGCTCCATACAAAACAAGGTTTCCTGTTTCAATTCAAGGATTCGCACAGATTAGAGAATGAATAATGGTGGCTTCCCAAGTTTTTAGGCTATCCTTGTGGTGGAAGTAGTTCATACTTTATACTCTCATTAAGATCTGTTTAGATCTCAGCCCATAACATTGGCTAGGCATGAAGAAGACACTCTATTTGCCAATGAAATTAAGAAACTGATTTTGACATTTAACGTGTCAAATCTATTTTATTCATAATCTCTAAACAGTAATGAGACACATCTTTGTAAAATAGGATTAAACAGATATGTAAACTGCTACACTGAACCATGGTGAATTCGATTTGGGAAGGAAATGAAGGTTTCTCTCTTTTTCATGACTTAATCAAGAACCTTTCCAAGAGGCCTCTTAAAGGGGGAGAGGTGGCAGCCTGCCTCACAAGTGATGACAGCAGCCCCTAAATCAAGTGTCACACAGCTTCAAACCCTAAGGAGTCATCACTCATGCTTGCAAGAGGGGAAGGAGCAGCCTCCTTCCTTGAGATCAATGAGGCAAACACAGAACACTCCTTCTGCTCTCCTAAGGATGATTGATGACTCCTTAGCAGCTGAAGTGTGTGACATTTGATTTCACTTACTGATAAAATTGTGTCTATCCAAACACCTTCTAGTTAATGTTTCCAGGGCCCCTACATAGCTGTTCTTTGTGATGTTTTACACAAAGCTCAATTGTTCAATGATTAATGAATTTCTCAACAACAGAAGAAAATCCTGTAAGAGAATTTTGTAACTGTGTTGCTTGATATTCTGATCACAACACAAAACGGGAATCTAGGCTCCTCAAGAAAAATAGTGGGAGATCTCCTGCATTTGTCAAATGACACTTAGTGGGGAAAACAGTCCTAAAAGAAAACTGGCTTTTTTCCTCAACACTTTAAAATATACCCTTTAGGTCTGCTTTCTAAAAAATCTAATGCTTTGATTGATTAAAAATATTTTCCAAAACTTTAAGAAGCAGATTTACACATAAGTATAGATTTCAACAGACTTGAAACATGCTTTATAGCTTTCTTATTTTTCTTACACCACCATATTCTTATCCAGTTATTTCATATTTTGAAATGACGCAGTCAGCATGATTTGAAACTACGCTTTGTAATGCTTTGTAACTACAAGGCACACTTTTCTTTATATGTTCTAAAACCAGCCCATTTTATATTACATGTAGTCATATCAGAGGTCTTGTTAAGTAAACTTTTTTAATATCACGTAAATTGCGTAGCACTATTTACATATATTATAGTGCTCATACCCAATTTTACTGCTTTTAAGATTGATGTTGAATTAAATGTTTTAAGCAGCTGTATTTTTATCTCTCTTATGATATCACAATCAGGAAATGCAAGAATGTTTTTTGACCCTGATTTTAGAAAGGTTCAGCTGGATTCTGCCCCAGATGCCTTTGGGAGTTTTAGCACCTTGCACAAAATTCAACAGTCTCTGATAAACACAAGAACCAGGCAACTCAGAAGTCTGTCAGAAAATATATTCAAAGGGAGCTAAACTGTACTCCCAACAGGTTGTCAATTATATCTGTATATCTTTTTTCAGTTCCTTTAAGGTCAAGTGCTTCATATACTTCTAGTCTGAACATTACTTTCCTTACTCCGTAAGTTTGTTCGTCAAAAAGCATACCGGTAAATTACAAGAAGAATACTGCAGTTCAGTCCAGCAAAAGATGATGAGTGTAGCTATCTTAACCCTTCAGAATGAATGACAGGAACAGAATGGCATTATTGTCAAAGAAAAATGCTCCACATGACCTTTATTGTTTTGCCAAAACCAGCCCACCAGAAGTAACCAAACAGAAATTCCAAGTTTGGACTTGCCAAATGAATCTTTCATTTAAAATTTGAAACAAAGGCATTGCTTTTGCCAAACATTGCTAAGCTTCGCTGAGGCCTTGCGTGAAAAACCAAGAGCTCCAACTATTTGGAATTCATATTTAATGTAAAACTTTGGCTTGTTCCCACTTAATGCAAATAAGAGACTGCACATTACCTTGACGCTCTTTAATTTAAAAATGATACTGACACAGAACTGTGCCAAATTAACTCAGCTATGATGAAATGATTATAAAAACAAGGTGTTATGAACAGGCTTGGCACTTAAAGACATGATGAAGTCTCCATAACACTCTGAAAATTTGTTAAGATGAAAATAAAGACTGGTTTTGAAGTCAACATTTTATTTCTGAAATATTATACTCCTCAGGGATTTAAAATACTAAATATAATAAGATACAAAAATCAAACAGATATTTAAGTTGAAAAATATACTTTTTAAAAAACTTTTAACATGATAGATTTCTAATGCTGACATACTATAATGTCATAGACTTACAAATAAATTAGGTATGACCTTTTGGACAATGGTGTTTAGTCTATAATATAACCTTATAATATTAACCTACATTTTTCTTCACTAAAAAATTGAAATAGCTTTTCTTTCTAAAACAGATATAAAAATCATCTTACATTCTCTCTCGTGGTTCCTTATGAGATAAACTAAAATCATACTCAAATTATGCCCTTAGCAATGCCGGTAACTGTTGTTAAGGACAGCGAAGTTGACAAGTAAACAGGAGTTTACATCATACAGGGTGTCATTTTCCAGTTTGAAGTGCACTACCTCAAACACTTGAGCATATGATATGAATGCTCTCCAGCTTGAGGAAGACTTCTCCTCAGTTATCCACTAATGAGAACCTGTATTTTGAGAGTATATGAAGATTTTTTGAAGGGTACGTTTGTTTGACAAACAGCCACAGTTCTACCAGAAGTAGCTACTTGAAGTGGTAACAGATATCTAATTCCCAAATTCCTTTCCATATCACATACGTTAGGAAGCAGGGAAGTCGAATTCTTCAAGGAAAATCATGTTCTGAAACTGTCAGACAGGCTTCACTTAAAAACTAAATTCACACCCAGATATGGGTTTGTGTGCATCACTTTTCCCTTCCCGCTCATCACTCTTCAACCCAGTCAACTCCAATTAAATTTATTAGGATAAATATTTAAACATTTCCATGAAAACAGCTGATCAGCTGGAAGACAGAGATCTTACTGGTGTGTTCACTGAAAGCACTGAGCACTACGTGCTCAGAAATACCTACTAGACTTCAAATAACCTACATGGAAGGGAACATTTATGAATACCCAAACTGGGAAAAGTCATGATCAGAGGTATGGGAGGTATGGGACGGGTGGGAAGAGAGGCTTAGCACTCACTGCTAAATATGCATGAGTGCCCAGATTAACCTGTGGAATACATAAATTCCCAGAAATACAAATACTTCCCAGAAACAGCTGAGGTGAACAAAAAGAGAAGAAACCAGAGAAGACTCTTGGAAACCTGCCTAATTTCCTCTGAGCACACAGTCCACCAACTTGGCAAGCTCACAGGGAAACGCAACTTGCATCATTGTGACTCTCAAACAGTCTTTCCCTGGGAATGCCTTGAAGAGACAATGATTTTTCAGCTGGAACTCCTTCTTTGTCCAAAAATTTCAAAATTCAAGGGCTTTTTTCTGGCCCAGAAGACATCTTCAACTACCAAAATTTTCCATTAAGTGGTGCATCCTTCACCATCACCTATTGTTGAGAAAAATCTTCATTCTGGCATTTTCTAACTTCTGAATGCTTAACTTTGAAACCTGCAAAAAGCACTGTGTGTTTTGAAATTTGCAATTCTGCAGTCTTGCAGAATTGTTAAACGTTGTTATTCTTCTTAGAACAAATGTCTATTTAAAACAAAGCAAAAAACGCTAAACTAACAGCTTGAAACCCTTGCACCTACCTATTGTAGCTGAAAAACATAGGTTGTCATCCTCCATTTGGATCCATTAGTAAAGGAGGAGAGGTGCTTTTCTTATTGATTTCACTTATATTTACTGATAGAAATGGAATGGGTCATCCTGATTTCCATTTTAGGATCACATTGGCAGTATGCTCTAGTTCTCACCAACGTTTTCTTTTCACTTTTCCTGACCTGTTCTCTCCAACAAGTTTCCTTCCAGTCCTGCAACTTCCCCAAGTCCTTCTCCTTATCCAGTAAAACCAATCTGAAATCCAAACTTTTAATTCAATTCACTTTCATATCACCCACACCAGTTGTCTATCACATTGGCTACTTCCCCACAGGACCCAAAATCCTGCTATTTTCAAGTCTCCTCCATAACAAACACTCACATTCAAATACATTCCTTTCCTTAAACTTAAACTGATCAGTCACTACCATACCCTCCTCAGCTCTATGAAGTATCTTTTTGGCTAATCAACAAATCATTTCCTCTAACCTCAATCTAAATTCTAACACCTTCAGAACTCTCCCACTACATCTTGGTTCCTCATCAGATCTGTCCCATGTCTCTCACATCCTTTTTCAGCTTTTGATGTGGCTTAAACCTAGTCTATTTGTCAATTATTAGGCCAATGTTAGGCCATTACCACAACCCATGGTTTCCTAGCTCCTCTTTTCGTATCCTCCTTCCTGTCTTCCCAATACAGAACTATGCCACTGTCTAACGAGCAGCCTAAGTTTCCATCTAAGAGTCCCAATTTTCTTCTCTCCTTTCCGGGCAGGTTCCAGCCACTAACTCTTTCATTATTCCACATCTGGTCCTGCCTTCTGACAGACCGAAGGAACAGAAGAAGGCTTGCAGACCATAAAGAGAAAAGATCCTAAGAGGCAATTGGCTAACTGCACATTACAAATGAAGCCTTAAAATCCTCTTTTACCAGAAACTGTAAGTTATTCCCTACGTTAAAAAAAGAAATTCAATTCATGTTCAAATCACAGAATGGACAGTCATTATTTGCTCACCTGAAATATTTGTTTCAAGGAGAAAAGTGCCCGTCTCAGCTCCCGTCCATTGGAATTGTAAAGTTTTTCTGGGGAAAAAAAGAAAAGACAACAGAAAGAAGTTCAGCACAAACGAAACTGACAATGTGGCAAAAAAGTAATACAGATTTCAAAAGAATTGGAGTGGAAGAGTCATCGCGCCCATTTCCCATTAGGTAGATTGCTGTTAAAGAAAGTAGCTTTGTTTTTTATATATACAGGACTCGTTCATTAAAAAAGTGCAAGTAAAACCAGGGTTTAGTTGTCCATAACTTCAGATGGCATCTCCCAGGTGAATTCACAATAGCTTCAACGAGATCAGTGAGAAACAATGCTCTAAGGAGTTCTTGAAAACGCCTAGAAATACTGCTCTTTTTGCATTAAGGTAAATTTAGGGTTTATTGAAAGTACCATATTAGTCTCAAAAGACTCAACTGACAGCACTCTTTGCTTTTGTTATCAAAGCTAGAGCCACTGAATCCCATCCTTGACTGCCTTCCCTCCAGACATTCTTTTCTCATGTTCTCATCTTTCTATTGTTAAATCCTTTCTGCAATGGCAATGAACGTTAATACCAGAAATAGTCGGACAGTCTGTTCTAAGCATAATTCAAAACAGTGTTTTATTCTCATGAAAACTGATCTTGATCTTTTTCTAAATGAAGCAGAAGCCTTCTTTTCATCATCCAATATTGAAACCTATTACTTCATTTATTCCCCTACTAATGCATACACATAGAAATAATTTAAAGAAGACAAAAGCAACTCCTCTGCTATCTTTCTGAACCCTGCCACGATGTTTGTGCCTTTGGAATAAGTCTTGGACTGTACATCTCAAGTTTATTATTGCGTATTTGGAAGTGATTTGGGACTATGCGTGGATGGAGCAGAAGGTATGCTCTTCAAGTCTTCCTGGTCTGCTACGTTTGGCGTATCTGATAGAGAGAGACTATATGCAACGCTTCTACAGTCCTAAATGGAATTTTATCACACTAATGCAATCTGAGGACAATTACAAAGGAAAATCAAACCTTCACGGTCATCTCCCACGACACACTTTGCCTCACCCACAGATCATCATGAAAGGACTTTCTCTGCAATGGACAGCAGCCAGCAGGTCATGAGATCAAAGCTGGAATGCCCGTGGGGTGGGAATATTCTTATGAGAAAATGAAATATCAAACCCCAAAGTTTTATTTCTTACTCTCCCTTGTCTATTTCTCTTTTAATTACTACTTTACACTACAAAATCAAATTAAATTTTATTTCCCTCTCTCAGGAAGTTAAAAAAAAAAGGCCTAGCATTTGAGGAGTCAATGCATTTATAACTCAGTAATCAGTTTTTACTTCAATCAAAGAAGGCAGGTTTAAATTTTAAAAAACATGTCTTATTCTCTACAGTCATCTTCAACCAAAGGAAAAATGTGAAGTAAAACTTCAGCAAAACTTACACTTTTTTTTTTAAACTTTGAAAGTATTGTTCATCCTTAATTGCCTCTGATTTCAAAGGCAGAACGTGTAGAATTGGCAAAACTATTGTTGTTATAAGTTGTCTCCTTCCTTGCACTGTTTATAGATTCCTGACAAAACATTGGGGGAATGGATTTCACTTCAAGCCATAAACTTAGAGGCATACTTTAATTACTCTCACTTAAAAACACACTGGCATGTGACACTACATTTCTTGGCAGGATAATGAGTAATTTTGTCAGGAAAGCTTAAAGAATAATAAAGGCCTTTTAAGACCCAGCCTGTCAACTTTACATGCCATACTGCACAAAATATTCCTCTTTGAAAGATACCTCCATCTGGCATTTGTTATTACTAATTTCCCTCTATTCATAATTCACCAGCATCATTACAAGCAGAATCTCTCCAAACAAGGCAGTACATTATCATCTTAATTAAGAGAGGCACCACTTCTTAAAGTGCTGGCAACTTTGTACATAAATATCAATGTCCTAACAAATGCCATCTGTTGGTCTTGGTCTTAGACAGGAACAATCATCATCCTGGCACGGGGTAAAGTCCTAACGAACCATTGTTATGATACCATAACGCTGGTTGCTTTCATTGGTGCGTGCAGATTTTCGGTACATCTCAGAGGAACAATGCCGAACATTTTTCTTCTTGGTCTTTTCACACAGCATAACGTCACCCTTGGCAATCAGCACAAACAATGCTCCCTCCTGCTCGCGTGTAGTAAAGAGGACCGAAGTTACTAACTGCAGCTCAAGAAGAATCAATAACTACTGGAAGTATCAAGTTTGGCAACAACAGTGGCAACAAGACAGCAGCATGTATTGCAAACGCTTGAGCTGGTCTGACATCCCTTTTGAGATGCAACAGGACAGGTAAGTCACCTCATTTCTGACATCTACTACCAGGGTGCAGCAATCTACACAGAGACGATGCGCATTTGCAGGTCCCTCATCACGTGGAGCTGATCTTGTTGAATCAGCTCAGAAATACAAGTGCCTAACCTCTTCACCTGATGTTCTTACACATGGGCAATATACTGACTGCCTATGTAAGTCTTGCCACCCACTTCTTATAGTGCTGACAGCCATCAGAAACATTCACGGAGCACAACCCAAGGAGGAAAGTAAGACAGTCACTCCTTGGAGTCATGCTACATCAGAAGATGCTTTGGTTTAGAAAGTCACGGTCCAGGGCGAACCTCACCCAGGGCAGGAAAGCCTGCGTAAACCAAGGTACTGCATGGGTCACCTTATAAAAGCTTGTACTTCTATTGTATTTCTGTGTGCTGCTTTTCAGAAAATGATAAATGCATACACCAGATTACAGCTCAGGAACACTCGGTAAGATGTTCTCAAGGCCTTTCAGGATTCCCATTTGTCAACAGTAACTTCAACACCACAGGGACCTCGGGGCTCATCCCAAAAGCCCCAGACTGCAACCAAGGCTATGAAAATGCATCAGCAGAAACTGAAAGGCAATAATCACTCATAAGCTCTTTTGCTATGGTAGAAAATCAAATTAAAAAAAAGAGGGAAAGGCACATTTGTTTATGATGTTTTCACACTGAAGACAATTCAGAAACCAGATAGCAAATGCTTTTTAACGCTCGCTGTTTTACGTTAGCAATTTAAAGCATTGCCCTCTTTTAAACAGACTGAGAAATAGCCTTCCATGCTAAAGCACAGAGGTGACTGTAATTCCCACAGTGCATCCCTGGCAGAGTTGTCTTTAACTGAAACAAATGATGCCCACGGCTTTGAAACAGGAGTCCAACCTGCTGCTATCACCAGAACAAAAAAATTCTGAGGTGCTCCAAGGACAGCCCAGAAGACCTACCTGCTCATTGCCTTGTTATAACGTGTCGTAGATAAGCTTGAATACGTACACCAGGACTGCTTTATGCCAGAAACTGAACCTCTGAACTTCAAGCAGGAACACTCACTGCTACACCTCTCCCTGAAACTTCACGAGTCTCTGGCTCTTTGGTAAAACACATCTCCCATCCTTCCCCAGGTCAGGTACAGGTTGGAGACATACTACACTCATACACTTCAAGATTAGAGAAGATAAAACAGGTCAGGGAGTTTAAGATATCTAACTGTATCTACCTATTAATGACTGCATTTCTGACAGTTATGTCCTGATAAACTATGCTATTGCAGTTCTTTTTTACTACTTTTCTTCAAGAAATGAAGAGCTGCATCTGTGGCTGTGAAATAGGTTTAACTGCAGTTACCTAGATGATAGAAAATTCTCCTGGTGGTTCTCTCTGATGTTAAGTAACACTAGAGGGCACTGCTTATTTCTTTATTTTATGAAAGAAAAGGCACTCTGCCCCTCCATGGGCTTCCCACTGATTGAGCAATACTGTTTGGCACACTGAGTTGGTACTTCATTAACCTTGAAATCCTGCTTTTTTTCTGTAGGCTGTAGGACATCTTAAGAAATTAAAAAGCATCAGCACTGCCAACCTCAAACGTTCAAAATCAGAGTCAACTCTTTTGAAACTATCTGATAGAAAACCAGGTACTGATATGGAATTGAGTTTTATTTACCTTTCTGTAACAAGCAAGAGTCACGTTTGTTAAATTATCCTTCACATCGTAACAGGTAGGCGTATATCCTTGCAAGACAAAGAGATTCCCTTAGCTCACCACTTCTTTCTACAGGCAGAGCGTCAAAGATAACCGGGCTTGTGATACAGACAGACAGGCGTGAGAGGCAGCAACCTACAAGTGCCTGTTTTCTTGCAATGGCAGCAGTTTGGTTGAGAGAAGGCTTCATGCTCTAAAAGAAAACCGTTGTTTACTACTCTGGGATTTTGTTTGCTTTTACTATTGTAAAATTAACTCTCCTAGAGAAGAAAGGAAAACAACTCATGCTAGGTGAAAAGGGATTTCTCTAGGTGAATTAGGTACAAACGTGGCGGTGGAGGGGAAGCAGTTTGGTTTGCAATTGGCATCTTTGCAGAAAGCAAGAGAAGCCTTTAAAGATCCTTATTTTATCAGAGCACTGGTAGCTTTCAAAGGGGATTCTATATTTTCAAAGACGACCGTCAGAGGCTCAAATTTCATTGGGTATTCAACTCTTTCAACTACATGGGAAAAGGGACTTTTTAAAGAAAATAATAATTGGTCTTTATATTCTTAATGAAAGTATTGACTTTTCTTCTGCTTTCTATGGGAAAATGAGTGTTTTCAATCCACAATAATAAAAGAAAAAACAGAACTGGCTGAATATTGCTTGGTTCAGTCCCATGTGTTACACCTGACCTCTGACCGACCGGGTACCATCCTCCTCCCTTCCTCTTCCATCACACCCATTGAATTAGTCCCTGGGATATAGTAATTTATGTAGCATCAGCCTTTTGAGCTATTGGCAAAGACTCGTGAACATCTGGCTGAGCACAAATGGGAGTTGCTCTGCTTCACTTGCTGCTGCCTGAATGACCTCCACGTCTCCCATCCATGCCTCTTTTCTTTAAATTATAATTTCAAGAAGAAGCTCCTTTCCTTACAAAAACATAAAAGGGAGATTAACTCCACATCTGATTACATTAGCAGGGTACC